CGTGCTTGAGTTAGATAAGGAGCTTTCTTTTCGTTAGGTAGAGCACGCCACTTTTTTAAAATTTGTTTACACCTTTCAGACCACGCTGGAAATTATATATCAAACGTATAATAATATAATTAATAAATTATATACACATATTTAAATATCAAACTTAATAAATTTTCTTATTACCTGGATATTCCGTTTTCCATTCTGGATGATTAATATTAGCATAAAGAACTGAAGATATTGTTGCCCCAGTACCTAATGCTTCATCAGCCTCCATTTTAAGATTACTTCTTTGGTTGTAAGATATCGTGGCACCACTCACTGGAGCACTTCCTTCATCCTCAGGATTTACCCAAGGACTTGGTGGTTCTGAGAATGCTGGGCTAAATTGTGGACTACTGTAATGTTATAATTTCAAATACTAAATTAACTTGATAAGATTTCAAAAATGTTGCATTTATCAAATATAAATTTCATTGATTTACTTTTAGATGTAAATATAATAAAATATTAAATTTACTTACTTGCTATATTCCGAATGATACGGGGATGGAGGTGGAAAACTCATTGGAGAATTCAAATTTGATTGCCCAACTGGAGGTAATGTACCAGGTACTTGCGGTCTTGCAAGAGGTAAAGCCGTTTGCATACCTTTACAAATTATTACATAAATGGTTTGATAAATATATTTCTTATTAAAATAATTTCGACGATAATAATACGTTTTTTTTTTACCAGGATGTGGTGAAGGTGAAACAAGTGGTGTAGTGGAAGATGGTGGATGTGGAGGTTGAGCTTGTACAGAAAACACTGATGATTCTTGCGATTCTTGTGACTCATCCGTAAGAACCCCTTTGAATATTTCTTCAATATCTTTACTATCCATATTAGGTAGACCTATATGAACATATAAACATTAGATTTTCCATTATTTTTTATTTATTTATTTATTTTAATCATACATCCATACAGCTAATACGTACCAATATCTCTGACCATTGATTCCAAATTAAAATGTGGGCTGAGAATGTCTGTTAATTCATCCTTAGAAGTACCTTGCGTATCATCTAATTCGTCTAAAGCTTCGCTGGCTTTAGCTAATTCTTCATCTGGCTCATTCATAATAGTATTGACAAGTTCACTATCAAGTATGTCACCAGAAATTGGTAATATATCACCAAGTGCTTCGGTATCGCTGCCATCATCCTCCATAATTTCTTCCCGTTTTATTGGCTGTTCTACAGGCAATTTATCTTCCTCCTTTTCTTGCTTAGCTTTAACTTGTTCCATTGCTTTCAATTCATCTTGCGACAATTGAATAGTATCTGCATTAGCAGAAACATTTCGTTCACCATCGGACTCGCTACTACTTTCAAGATCTTTATCTTTGGTAGTATCCATAAGGTCTTTGCCAAAGAATGCTTCTTGCATATAGAGTGGAAAACATTCGGATAATTTTGTCTTTGGTTTTCGCCTTTGTGGTTTTCTACGTGGTTTGTCATCTGCCATTCCTATTACTGAATCTGCTATTTTTTCAGGATCCCCTTCCTCCTCTTTATCCTTACGTGTACCTCTTATTCTGACAATGAATCCACCAATGCCAAGCTTTTGTAAGTTACGTTGGCGTTTGCGTCTTAAAACAGGTATGCCATTTTCAGTCGTATAAATACTGAATCCTTCCGGTGGCGGCTGATCTCCACGTGGTGTCCATACCATACCTTCTTTAAGTACCTCAGTAGGTTCATCTTTAACATCTACTAGATCTAATTTTCCATTATCTTCTAAGGAATTGTCTAAACTACCACCAGCCACAACAGATTCTATTGTGGCCATAATGTCTGCCTCTTTATCTATCAAGGGAAGCATTTTTCTTCTTTTTTTCCTCGTTTGTTGATGTTCCGATGTTAAAGATTTAATGTGATTCATACCAGCCTCGGATAAATATACACCATCTACTAAATACTGTTGAGAAGACGGTTTGTATAATTCAGGGCTTCGCACAGTTGGAGGTGGCGAACGAGAATATTTGTTTGGTTGGAGCTTAGATTGGTTACACAAAAGATGTGGCGGGAGTATGTCTCTCGGACGACAAAGTATACAAATATATCCTTCCTCGGCACATTTTTCTGCATCTGCTTCCGATTTAATGGAATCGCATGCACAATGTAACCATCTCTCACACTGAATGCACTGTATTATGAGATCGCCCTCGTTATATGCTTCTTGACAAGATATGCATGCAGTATGAGAAGCGCATGGACCACATTGAGTATAATTTTTTTGCCAGCTGCTGTTAAATCCTGGATCATTTGAACCACATGTTTGGCACTGTGCACACCACTTACATTTCCATGTTCCATGAGGCACATAATCTAAAGGTGGATCCATACAATAGATATGATAACTGATATCACAATCATCGCATAATATTAAGCGACCTTCATCATTTCTTTCGCCGCAACCTTCGCATACTGTACAATCAAGGCACCGCCAACCTTTTTGTAATATTATCTTAGTAACTTTAACATTAGCGCAGTAAGGATGGTAGCATTGTCCACATTGTGCACATGCAATTAAACATCCTTCCTGGTCAGTTCCTATCGCACCACACATAACACAAATATCTTGAGTTAATACAAATTTATCTTTTGCAGAGCATAATACTAATCTGTTTTCTACTCCTGGCTCATCTTCCTTTGAAAAAGAATCTGAACTTGGTCTCTGAAATTATGGAAAACAAAAAAGAAATTAATATGATGACGAATGTAAACATAATTTTTTTATATATTCTGATATTTATAGAAACAGAGAGAGAGAGAAAGAGAGAGAGAGAGAGAGAGAGAGAGAGAGAGAGAGAGAGAGAGTTTGTTTACCTGCAATCCTACCCCTGGTACTCCAAAAATACCTCTCATTTTGGCTTTGGGACCTCTTTTTCTGCCAAATTCATTCATTTTTTGACGTTTTTGATAACCCAGTTTACCCACGCCTTTCGGTCGACCTATCATGGCTCCTCCTAGGCCTAATCTCTTTTTAGCGATTTTAGATGCACAGAAGGGTTTTCCTTTTCCAAGACCAATGGAATATAATGCTTCTTCCGAACTTCCTTGATAATCGACCTCGGATGAATCCCCATCACCGTATAAGCTTTCTTGCGAAGCACTGAGACTAAAGTCACCTGTATAATCATCAACATTGTCCTTTCTTTTTACAATAGCCATATTTTTACAATGAAGGCAAACATATTCATAATCAGGTTTGGCTTCCTTGCGATGCTGATAAGTCAATGGGTCAGCCTCTGGATCACAGGTACCATGAACAAATTTTTTACACGCACTGCACTGTACCATTTCTCTATATGCAGCTGCTCGATATGCTTTTCTGCAAAGTGGACAAGAAAAACCCTTGTTCCTTTGTTGGTAACACGAGTCACAAACAGTGTAATGAGAATGCCAACGCGATGATAGTCCTGCGCCGGGTGTACGCGAACCACAATCCGTACATACTCTACAACATTTGCACTTCCAACCATATTTAGGTATTGATGTAACGATTGGTCGTAAACAACCAGGATGATACGCTTTATCACACCTCTCGCATAACATTACTTTTGAAACATCCTCTGGTTGACGACAAACCTGACAAACACGACAAGTTACGCATTGCCAACCAGCACGTACGCCAGGTAGAAGTGCTAAACCGACACAACTACCATGATAATGTTGTCCACATATAGAGCACATTACTAAGTTAGAAACATCTCCCATTCCAAAACACTGCGTACAAGTGACATCACGGTTTACTAAAGCAAAACATAAAAAAATTTTAGTATTTGTTATTATTAATCTACAATATATACGGTTTATATATCTAGGGTATTATTTACTACAATATACTTAGTTAATAAAAAACTTACACAATAATGGAACTTGTCCCAAATGTTGGCTACAAAAAAGTGATAAGGTTTTTGTATCTTGGAAACAACTCGAAGCTGCAGCACATGGTAAATGAAAATAACGATTGCACGATGCCACCTGTTGAATCGAAGAGAATATATATATATATATATATTTTATATATATATACATATATATTTATATATTTATATATTTATCATTGCTTCTTTATAAATAATTAATAAAATTGCAAAATACGTACTTTACAAGCAATTCCAGCTCCATAATGAGAACAATAAGCACACCGTCGCGATGAAGCTTGCACTATTGCAGGGCTAATAAGATCAGTTGCGAGATCTTGATTGTTACTCGACCAGATCGCACAAGACTGATGAACATAATAATGCCCTGTTTGTTCAAATAATATTCCTATCTCTGGCTCTTCCAAAAATCCAACTATAGTTAATTCCTCCACTGGTTCCGTAAAGTTGGTAAGACTAGTATTTCTAAACATATCATGCATATAAAATAATAATTATTGATTAAAAAAATTAATATATTGTCCAAATTAATATTATACCTGCACTTAGCCAAACTCTTTTGCCTACGACAGGTAACAGCACCTGGACCTACTGCACGGGGACTTTTATCACCAGCAGAAACATCCATGAGTTGTTCAGTCGTCTCTTCCCGATTTATATTTTTTTCAGGAGTAAAACCTTCGGGGCATGATAATCTTAGTAATTCGCCTTGACCCAACTGACTTCGTTCACTCAAATTGCATAGAGCACAAACTTTTCCTGGCCTAATAATATCATTGTTTATGCGTTAACAATTAATTCTCATATTTATAATCAATTATTATATTATATACAAATTAATATAAAACAAATCTATAAGTATAATTACCATTGTTCTGGAAAATATGGTGGTTCCTCTGGAGCAGGCATAGATCTTTCTGTACTTAATCCTTCCCCATCGGGCGTGCTATCTTCACCAATACGAAGAGGACTTGGAGATTCAGAATGGGTATCATCATCTTTACTTTTTGTCCTACGTGGCATACCCCTCATATACCCAAGCCTAAAAAGCAAAATTTTTCATTAAATATTCTGCTCTATTGATTAAAAGAAAATATTATTTTAAATGATAAAACAACATTCCCTTTTTTTTCTTTTTTTTTTCTTTTTGCAAAATACTTACCCTTTACCCCTTGTTGTACCTCTACCAAAAGATCTTCGGGTACCTCCACCACGAGTGATACCATATGGACGTTCTTTTCTTGGTCTTCCTGGACCACGCCTTATACTTAGTGGCTTGCCGCCAGGCAGTGGAAACTTTTGGTATCGCAAAGGGTCAGGAAATGCTTCTTCAGGAGTAACTGTAATGGAATATAATTTTTTACAAATACATGAAATATATAAACTACAAGAATAATGTAATGTATAGAAATAATATTTATTTATTTTTTTTTTTTCTGTCTGGATACTAACGGTTACCAAGGGAAGGAGCTGGACCCAGCAATTGATCTGAATTTGCTGGCGAAGCAGGAATTCCTGTAGTCTCTTCATCTTCATCTTCACCATCAGAGGCATCATCCAGCTCCATTTCCTCCTCGCCTTCAAGGCGCTCTTCATCGTCCATGACACCTTTACAGGAGTCAAAGTGCTATGGGTACCTATAGAGTTAAAGAATTAAAAATGATATTATCCTGTAAAAAAATTACTAAATATTTAGCTTTAAAAATGAAAAATAAGAGTATATATCTTGAAAGTAGAATATTCCATATAAAGTTATCATTGAATATTATCATAACTACAATGTTATCTACCTTATTATGTCCAGTAAAATAGTATATCACTTAAATAATATCACAAATTTATGTATATATATATATATATATATATACATATAAACACGTCAAAAATAGATAGATTAAAGTTATTTTGAAATTCTTTGTTCGCCCCAATAGAATATTCTGTTGTATTTTGACAGAACAAAAAAATTCCCAAATTCAAAATTTTATTAATAATTATCAAAGAAACAATATATCTAGATATAGAATTAGTCTATGAAAAAGTTTCATAAATAATGATGAAGAAAATAACTTAGAACGTATATGGCTTAGAACCAGTTACTCCGAACTTATTCATTTGGAGCAAAAATTAAAATCTCATGGAAACTAATTTTCATAATAAATAACGACATAGGGATAAATACGGATTCGTGTAATACCAGATGTATATATAAATACGTAATCTAAACGATCCACTTGTATATTATATATCATAAATGATTTTCAAATTTTTTTAATAATAATTTGAACAAATTTCATGGAACCAAAAAAAAAATTCACAGATAAACCGTAAAGGAAAACTGAAGAGAAAGAAAGAGAGAGAGAGAGAGAAAAAAAAGAAAAGAAAAGAGAGAGAGAGAGAAAGGGAGAGAGAGAGAAAGAGAGAGGGAGATAGAGAGAGAGAGAGAGAGAGAAAGAGAGAGAGAGAGAGAGAGAAAGAGAGAAAGAGAGGAGAGGCGCGAATTTAATGGAGGAAGAACACGATAAAATAGAAAATAGGCGCGATTCCGTCTTAACTCACATCCTCGGTTCCCCTTTACGATTTAGAGCTCGGCCGCGGTAGGATGGCGTGCCGCTCGGCGATCGGCGGTCATTCCGCCACTGGGGAAATACCGAGACACTTCACCGCGCAAATCACACTTCTCATCGTGGAAACTATCACAAAAATGCTTCGGTAAAGGAAGAAGATGTCCTAATTCGTGCCGGTAAGTAGCACGTTTTCCAACGATCCGAGATGATTTATATATCTTCGTTTGATTTTTCCTAGGGTAAGGAAGAAAATCGAGGAGGATTTTGTTGGCACGGCCTTAACAGCGACAGTACGCCATTGCTATGTCAGGGTTTGCAGGCTATAAACACACCACGGAGGACGCCCGTCCTCTGTACTAGCCTCACGTACCTTCCAGTTACTGTTGCCTCCTTCTCAGATTCATGGCGATTTTACACGTGGAATTGTCCGGATCTTCATCAAAATACGCACGGTCAATGCAAGTAAACATCTTGTAGCAACAGAAAAAAATGTCACAAGCTGCTCGAACGGAAGAGTACACGACGGTCCGAAGGGCTAAAGTCACGGAGTCCGGATGTGCTAACGGAATCAGACTGTCCACCCGTTATAACACGTGTATAATGGCGTCCTCTGGACGGTAGAAACTCGAGAACACGATATATATATATATGCATATATATATATCGTATATATGTACATATATATACATACAGAAGTATGTGTGCATATATATATATATATATATATATACATTAGTAGAGAATAATCCTCGATCGAATATCTTTCACGTATTTTATTAGTTTTTATTAAATCTATTGGGTCAGATATAACAAGATAATTCTTTTCTTACAATTAAGAAATTGTCTTATCGACAATTCGTAAGTCGTTACAATAGTGCAAAGATATTTTCTATGTTTCTTTATGCATCCTTGACTACATCCGTTTGTATTCATATCTCGAGATTTAAGATATATAATAATTGTTAAAGGAAATGTTTCATATATTCATTACCATTCATTTTAATGTATCACGCATTTTCAATTATCATCCATGAAAACATTTCCAAGAAAATTAAATAGTTTTGAAATAAATACGAAAGACTTGATATTATCGAACATTTCTAAGAAACAAATCTATGAATTTATTTTTTCTTTTTTTTTTTTTCAACATTATTATTTTTCTTTTATTGAAGTTCAAAGTTCATATTTTTTATCTTTATAAAAAATATTTATCTAATATATAATAATAAATTTGATTCATATGTCTTACGTTTGTGAATATCACGTGAAATCATTCGTTTGAATCACTCGCTTGATATTGATTTTATTTTATTTTTCTTTTTTCCTTTTTTTTTTTTTTTCTTTTCTTTTTGACAACAATTCGGATATTCCTTTTTTAATAATAACTTCGTAATTTTCAAAAGAGGATGGATATGTGAAAAAAAAAAAAAAGAAAAGATGTTGGAGAAGGGATAATAATCAACATGCATTTGCCTGCAACAAGAGTAGTAGACTCGACCAATGAAATCGTACGTTACATTCGAATACGAACGTTTCTATTGGCTGGCACGTTACGCGTCGCTAGTTTTATATAGCTTTACATTTGTCCACCAGTGTATCTACGTAATAAGCGCGCCATTTTCTATTCGATATTGTATAGCATTCGAGATATTCGTAATATCTTTTATTCGTTAACAAATCTTTTATTCGTTCTATTATCATTAATTTTGTTTTTCTTTCTTCTTTTGTAAAATATCATATATTTAACGTATTCAATATTAATTATATTTATTACAATATTCATATGATAATGGACTTGACCTTTCTTTTTTTTTTTCGTGTAAATGTATTATCTTTATTATTCTTTTGTTAATTTTATCCAAACGTCTATTACGTCTATTACGTCATCGAGTTATCTATGAACGATTAAAAAAATTATTGATAATTTCTTTGTTTCTATCATTAGAGAGGCCGTTTTTTTTATTATTGTAGTTTTGAACGAAATTAGCCAAAGTCGAAGCATCTAATGCATTTACATAGTAAATAAGTATACATAGAAAACTTATTACAAGGGGTTTACGTAATAATTGAAATGACGCATAAAAAAAAAATTTTTTACGATCAAAGAATAATGTTCGATTAAAAAAAAAAAAAAAAAAAAAAAAAAAAAGAAAAGAAACAAAGAAAATACAAATTCGTTTCTTTATCAATTTTAAAATGTTAAATTTAATTTAATATTAAATATGATTTACATAGTTTTAAATATAAACTTCACGTAAGACTGATACTTCCTTAGATTCTTGATCCTTCAAAAATTGGAATATATTTGATAAAGCTGTAAATTAAAAAAAAAGAAAAAAAAAAAAAAATGAAAAATTAATTTTTTTTTTATACATTTGACGAGAACAAAAAGATTAGATCGTCTTATTATTATTACCTTTCTTATCATTATTATCCATAAACATTTTTACAATAGAAAATCGACTTAATTGACTAATTGATTTTAAATAACGAACAAGTAATTCATAATCTTCGGATTTACAAAAATGTTGTTCTAAACAACGTAATATCAAACTGAACATATTTCCATCGAGTTTGTTACCTATAACTAAAATATTTTATGATTACATCACACACTTATTATATCATATATAATTGGATTTGTACATATATAGATATGTATGTATGCATATACCTGTACTGAGATTTTCGAATTTTAAAGTTCGTAATAGTCGAGCATGTATTTTTAAATCATTATCATCTTTTAAAGATTGCCATGCACGTAGAAATTCGTACGGACTCGATATATTTTCCAAATTCTAAAAATATAATTATAATTATATCGACAATATAATTTATTAAATGACAATATTATATCGTATAATTTACCATAAAAGTTTTATCTTCCTTCCGACATGATTCATCATCGTTGTATTTTCTTTTGATCTCATTGTTTTTCTCTAACGAATTAGATTTATTTCCATTTATTGTATTATGATTAGTTTTTATTTCTTCATTATCCTTTCTATCGATAGATTTAATTTTTTTCGTATACGATTGATCATTTGGGATTTCCTCTATGACAACTCCAGATGTACTTCTCGTTTTACAAGAAAAAATTGATTTTTGTTTATTATGTTTTATAGATTTCGATTCTTGACCAATTAAAATGGAGGTTAATTCGTTTGACGTAGCATTGTTAGAAGAAGATAAATTAATATTCGTTAATCCAAGATTAATTTCATTGCAATTTGATAATATCCGTTTACTTTCATTTTGAAGACAATAATTTTCTTTGATATGTGGTAAAGGCTTGTTACTATGAGACGGTCCTGGTCCTCTCTCACAAATACATATATTATTTTCAATAACATTTTCAATCTTTTTATTGGATGACTTTGAAAGACACTTTTTAATAATATTTATTTTTTCAGTATCACCCTCACCTCCGACGATCTTCGAAATTTCATTCGAAGACGTTTCCTCTTCGATTTTCATTCTGTATCATTGATAACGAGAATTTATATATATATACGTCAACGTAAAAGAGTATAAGTTTTATTATTTACCTCACTCTTTTAGATTCGCAAGGTTTTCTTAATTTATTAATTCCAGCAATGGCCGTTCTGTTTGTCGGTTCCAGTTTCAAGATTGTCTCGTAATCGGTTAGAGCCTATTATTTATTTATATAAAAAAAAAAAAAGAAAATATCATATTTTTTTTTTCATTTCATTAATCCTTTGAATTATAATTATTTTATTATTTTTAATTTGTTTTTGGCCAACTCTGATTTGATTTTTTCTACACACACACACACACACACACACACACATATATATATGTGTGTGTGTTTGTTGGAGATATATGTGTCGCATCGGAGATGACCTTACAGCACAATGTAATTGATAATATAAATTGATTTTCTATGTGTAAATCCGACGTACTTTTTGTTTTTTATCCAAATTTTCGAGACACAATGCACGTCGAAGAAGTGCTTTGATATTCTTGTCATCCTCAGAAAGTACAATATTGCAATCATTGAGTGCATCTTCGTAACGCTGTAACTTAATGACTGAATATAGCATGTTAAACGTGTGCATTCTCTTTCTTTGTATCTTTCTTAATGTAAGTATAATTCAATCTAAATAAAATTATTAATTAATTTTCTTACGTGTCATAGCTCGATTATTATAAGCGATCGGGCATGAATTTATCGCGATACTGGAGTCATAAAATCGTAATGCATCGACATAATCACCAATTCTGAAAGCTTCATTTCCCTTTTTTCTTTCTTGCTCAGCGATCACGTCTATCTCTGTACCAGTAAACGAAGCTAAAAGAAATAATAATAATTAATAATAATAATTATCAGATAGAAATAATAATAATAATAATAGTAATAATTTATAATAATAATAATAATAATAAATCTTTATAGATATTCAATTTTCGAAGGTGTTAATTATTTCGTTAATTATTTATTAATGATAAATTAATTCATAAATCATTTTTCATTGACCATAAAAATCATTTTATCGTAATAAACAATTTATTTATAATCTACATTCTTATTCTTGAAACAAACGAATAATTTTTCTTACATTTGTTCAGAATGATTTCTTTAGAATTTTCTTTCCTTTTCTTTTCCATATCTTTCTGTCTTCGTTGGATCTCCTTAGCTTCGATCTGTTTTCTCTCATCTTGCAAATCTATCCTATTTATTTCAGTGTCAACGTCGTATTTGTCCCAAGCAGCATAATCGCAAGATGCTATTCGTTTGGATTTTCGATCGATATCATATCTTTCTTTGTTATCTTTTTTCTATCGAAAAAAATGTATTATTCATAACATATCGTATCGATAAAAATTATTTGTATTATTTTATTCAATTGTTCTACCATCGTAGAAATCTCTTCGGTATGTCTAATTTCTGGGATAAGTGAAGGATCATCCAGGAGAGATATTTTCCCATCATTCAAATCCTTCTCTCGACAATGCATTTCACGAGTCCAATCGTTAATATCATTATCAAGTTCCTTGCATTCGTCTGGTAGCAACATTTTACGTGTGAGTACTGGTAAAATCTTTCGTAAGACTGTACTGTTCGGTTTTATTATCGCCAAACGTTCTTCCGCATGTCTCGTTAAATCTGGATAGATACCTTCCTCCCCGGATCTAATATTTGTCATTAATAAAATAAAGAAATTAATTATATTAATTGTTTAATAATATTATTTTCTTTTCTTTTATTATTACTTCATCATTAATCGATCATGACAGACCTAAGTATTATGACGATACGTTCCAAGGTCTTGCCATTTGTACATTCTGTGATATATTCGTACGATAGATTCTCCAATGGTATTTCATATTTTTCCAATAATGATTTTTTCTCTGGCTTTGGCACAGTAATTAGATCTGCTTCTTCGGTGACCATGTTAAAACTACGTCTGAAATCGACATGGAAGGCCTTATTACATCTTGTTTTCCTCGGTAGTTATGGCAACGAGTTACTACACCATCGAAAGTTAGTTTCCAGTGAAAATAAACACCAATGTATATATTGATATCAGTAGATACGATCCTTGGAACGAAATTTCGTTCCTTTTAAAAATTGTTTATACCATTATCAAGTTACTCTTCATTACTATATATATATATATATATATATATAGTCCATCCTATCGGAAGGTATATATATATATATATCTTCATACGAATAATAAAGCGTCGAGAGCTTAGGTTCTTCTTGTGGAATAGTCGACTCACGCAACACCGCAGAGGAAATACGCATCGGGTATGGTTCATAGGGTCGCGCTTGCACGTTAACACGGAGAATCATAAACTTGTATGATTTATTAGCGAGTTAAGATTTATAAACTTATGATTCGGCCGTGTCGAGGGGAGTACACAATTTACCGTATATACATAGAGAACGTTCCCAAAGGGAAGCGCGTCTGCCTTTCAACTATGTTAAACCGCACACGACTAACTTTGTCCTTAACAACGAAGAAGATTTATATATTAACCAA